GTGCTGACTTAATGGTGAATATGTCCTTTATGTATCATGTGAAGTAGAAATATGTAGGGGGATCCTCTAGCTACACTGAGGTCATTCTGAGGGCACACACATGGTCCAGTTAGCAAGGGGAAAGTCTTGGGTCAGCAACCTGAATAATCTCAAACATTCATCCACATATCCAATCAGGAAGCATTCTGCCACGTCTTCTGTAGACCAGGCCCTGTGAAAGGCTCCAGGGATAACTGAAAAGCTGAATGTGGACCTTATAGTCCAAATAAGTCATCTCACAGAGAAGCCTAGATATGTATATAGACCATGATGAGTACTAGAAAGATGTCTTCGTCCATTTTCTGTTGCTATAACAGAACACCTGAAACTGGATAATCTATAAAGAATAGAGAGGTTTGTTTGGACTCATAGTTCTAAAATCAAGATTGGGTGACTGCATCTGGTGAAGGCCTTGTGTTCCTTCAACTCATGACAGAAAGTGGAAGGACAAGTAGGCAAGTGTGAAAGACAAAGGAGATGGACTTCCACACCTTAACTCATTCCCAAGAAAAGCATTGTCTGCCCCTGTGATCCAAGCACCCCCCCCCCCCGCACTGGGCCCATCTCCCAGTGTTGCCACATTGATTAAACCTAACCATGAGTTTTGTGGGGGACAAACCATAATTAAACCACAGCAGAAGGAAAGATAGACACCACCCAGGCACCTACTAGACCTAATCTGGCTGGAGGCTGGACTATTTGCTGGGGGCCCAATTGTGCCTATGAGCAGGCTGTGGTGGGGTCTTGATATGGGGCTTTGAATACACAACTCATCCAAGCTAGGAAAGTTACTCTGATGAATATAAGTAACCATACTGTTATGCCCAGGTTGATTTTTTTTTCCCCAAGTGAGTCATCAAAGTCAATGTCTAAGCCAGGCACCAAGGCACATGCCTATAATCCCAGTGACTTGGGAGACTGAGGCAGGAGGATCACTAGTTCAAGTCCAGGCTTAGCAACTTAGCAAGACCCTGACTCAAAAGAAATATAAAAAAGAACTAGGGATATAGCTCAGTGGCAAAGCATCCTTGGGCTCAATCCCCAGTACCAAAAAAAAAAAAAAAAAAAAACCTTTTCCCACTAATTTTTGTAAGGGGTTGGGGCACATAAAAATAAAGCTATGGTTAGTCTATGAATTTTTGCCATGCTTGTATTTTACTATCAGTTTATGGGGGGAAAAGTTATTATTTTTAAGTGGGTGCTTCATTTTTACAAGAAAAAGTTATTAATGGATTTTTTAAAAAAAATTTAATGCATTTTTTGTAGGTGGACACAATACCTTTATTTCAATTTTAGGTGGTGCTGAGGATCAAACCCAGTGCCTCACGTGTGTCACTACCACTGTGGCTCTACCACTGAGCCCCAGCCCCAGCCCTATTAATGGATATTTGAGTAAAGCTAATGTTATGGTTCATGGTTCTCAAATGTTATTGAATGATGATGATGATGATAATGATGATGATGATGAATTATATATAAAGTGCTATCTTTGTGCCTGGCATATTACAGTCACAAGCTAAATTTGAATTGAGTCTAGAAATTCTTTGCAAAGTAAAATGTTGGGGATGCAAATCAAGTCAAGATGGCACCTGGCAGTTTGCCAGGAGGAGTGGTTTGTGAAGCAACGCCAGAGAGCCATTAAGATGATGAGGATTCCTTATTGGCTGACTGCTGTATCTAGATGATGTTAATTAAGTTAGGCTGTGTGTAGTTAGTTGGGTATGTGTACCTCTGCTGTCCCGCAGAGAAGCGGCTCTCGCTACCTTGAGTGCCCGCTCAGTTCCCACTGAGTTTCTCTGCAATAAAGCAGTTCCGCTTCAACCTTCAAGTTGCTTGTCACCTCTCGGTTATTTTGCCCAGCCGGACTACAGCAGTAAAAGTGAGAAATGATGTAAAAAGCACTCACAATTGCAGGAAAATAATGGAAAGAATAATCTCCCATAAAGAGGAGACATTTAAAAAGCAGAAGATTGAGCACGTAAAGAGGAATGGGCCAATTTTATTACATGAGTTTGTTATCGTAGTGAGATTCTACTACATGAGTAATGAGATAAATATAAATAATCTCATGAAGCATGTTTAAATGAAGAGTGTTTGGTGAAATCATATAGGCAGTTATTTAATATAAGAATATGAGTATGGCAATATGTAAATCAATGGATGTGTAACTGACGTAATTCTGCAATCTGTATATGGGGTAAAAATGGGAGTTCATAACCCACTTGAATCAAAGTGTGAAATATGATATATCAAGAAATTTGTAATGTTTTGAACAACCAACAATAAAAAATTTAAAAAAAAAGATTTAAAAAAAAAAAAGAATATGATGGTTTGGACTCTTGTTCAACAAATATTCACCCCCTCCCCCACTGTGGGGATAGAGTGTACTTTCTGGCTCCCTTGGCCATGGGTGCAGCCTTGGTCCATGGAATGCTGGTAGAGGTAGTGTAAGCAGAGGCTCAAAATACGCCAGAACAGTTGTGCTTACAGTTGCACGTTGCCATAAATAGAATATGCCTTGAATAGCTGTCAGTCCAAGGAGGATGAAACCCGCATTGTTGTAGAGTCCAACCAACCACACCTTGGAGCCAGAGTGGCTGACATCAGCCTGCCTCAGATATGTGTGCCAACAAATGACATGCTTATTGTTGTTTGACATTGAATTGGGGGGTGATTTGTTACACAGCATTATTATGGCAACAGCTGATTGTTATGATAACCAACGTCTCATATTTTTTGTTAGGGAATTTTGTTTCAAATTGAAGAGGGTTGCTATGGATTGGAAATTAAATGTCCACCCAAAGGTCCATATGCTAAATGCTTGGTCACCAGCCTATGATGCTATTGGAGGTGGTGGAACCTTTAGAGTAGTGTCTAGTGGAAGGAAGTTAGGTCACTGGGGGGTATGCCTTTGAAGGGGACATTGGAACCCTGGCCCCTTCCAATCTCTGTCTTTGTTTCCTGGCCACCATGAAGCAAGCAACTTTGCTCCACCACCACACACCCCACCTTTGTGTGCTGCCTCACCACAGGACCAAAAGCAATGGAGCCAAGTGACCATGGAAGGGACCAAATGACCATGGGGCCAAGTGAAACCCTGAAACTGCAAGCCAAAGTAAAACTTAACTCCTTTTAAGTTGATTTCCTCTAGCATTTTGTCACAGCTACAGAAAGTTGACTACTCAACAATAACCAAAATTGTTTAGAAGTTAGTCTATGCATCAAAAAATCTTTCATCTTAAAATTAAAGGTTTTATAAAATATATTACTTTTAAAATAGGAAAACATCATCCTCTTGGGCTGCCTACAATCTGTGGGGAACCCCTGCTAGGTGGTAGTTTACCAGACCCCAGCAACATTGCACTACCTGATTTCCATAAGTCTGTAGTGGATATGCCCTATTCACAGTACAGTTGCTAGCAGCTAATATGGAAGACATTGGAAAAATACCAAACTCGGAATTGTGTGAGACCTACACACTAAAATGTGTTCAACTGAAAATGAATACTGTCTTGGCATGCATATTTTAACAGGGCAGAAGACCTCAAACCTTTGACAGTTTTAGGTTCAAATTTTGGCTCTCCTGGCAGGCTGACACTTTGTTGTGCCAGACAGCCAAGATTCATGTTTTGTAGCAGGTGGGAGCCTCAGTAATTTAAGCAAAATGTTGGCTCTTTCAGCCAAGAAAAATGCATCTCCCTGGGAAAGGTTGACGTACAGCATCTGAAGAGGGAGGAAATCGCAGCCACAAAATCAGAGCCTCCCCATGAAGACAGAAAGGAAGAATTCGACTCCCTCACTTCAGTGCTCACCTGACGTTCCACAGGGAAGGACCTGGAGAATGGGAGACAGCTCTAGATGTGATCACCCTCAGAGACGCCCTCTGAAAGCTAGTCTAGCTCATTTTCCCTAAGCAGATGAGACAAGCCATCACTCCTCCTATTAATTTTGGATGAAAATTGAGTTTTGCATAATTTATTCAACCAAATTGAATAAAGATTCTTGCCATTTATTTTGACTTGTAAAATTCCTCTTCATACCCTTTAAACGACCAGTGCAAAATAGAAAGATCCAGGGAGTATGCATTTCGTGGTAAGATTGTTAACAACGTACCTGAAAAGCGAGTCTACACCTCTTTCTTTCTTTGTGCAAAGGTAAAAAATGCTAATTCAGTGTCATACTGTGTTTCACCCTGTATTGTCATTGATCTTAAAACTGGCGAAATACTATTAGAATAGCATTTGCAATTACTACAGTAATATTTTTGAGAAAGGTAAATAAATAATAGGCCGTTACTATTAAAATTCTCTTGCATAAATGAAATCCTTTAAGATTATTTTATTATTTTATGTTTGCTGACCAAAATAATACCCTTCAGTCCCTCTGGCTAAGTCTTGACACGTTACATTTTAAGATTCAGAATTTGAATCTTCATAAAGTTATCTGTTGTAAAGCAGAATCTTCTAGTGTTTAGTTCTTTTTAAAAAAAAAGGAAAAAATTTTCCTTGAAATCAACCTAGTTCAACATTTAAATATTAAAATATTAGTAACATTATGTACATGAATATTTTTTACCACTGGCCTTTCAAGTTTCTAGGCAAGAACATAGTATGAATTGCAAACTTTAGTAATTTTGTTTCCTTAATAAGTGTAGCAAATAGGGAACAAAAACAAGATAAAAGGTTATATTCTAGACCATTTCATTCAGCATAATTTCAACTTTCAAATTATAGGGACATAAATGAATGTCCTACTTCTACATTACAAGTACTTGACTACTTTGTGGGATGTTTTGTGCCAATTCTTTACTAAATTATCTTGGTGCCGTTGCTAGGTAACACCGCTGGCTTCCTGCAGCTGAAAAAGGAGAGGGTTACAGAGAACAATTCGGCATTACTAGCATTTGATTAATAAGTCGTTGTCGTTAACTGTATATCTTAGCATTTTCCCTCCTTTTCTAGGGAATGTCATTGTCTATGGGAATACGATTGATGCTTACACCACTGTGGAAACGCTCTTACACATCGGTGTGAAGGGCACCTGCATCTACCTAGTGCATCCACCTCCTGAGTCTATCATCACCTGCATCAACAACTACACAGTGGAAAGCGCAGTGGAGGATGCGCTCAGTACCGCCGGAGTGACCATTTACCAGGATGCAGTCTTAGCTCAGTGGAATGACGGCCAGTACCCAGATCCCATTCACAGTGCCAGCTTCACCACACCCACCAAGCCCTTCAGACTTACGTGCTCTGTAAGTGGATCCCTGCGAACTTCACTCACCAGCTAGGGAGAGTAGTCACCTGCCAGGGGCTCAGGAGTCTGGAAGATTGGGAGCAGTGAATTTATAGTCATAGATTTGGAGTGTTGTTTTCTGACTGCTCAGGTTATCTCTTCCTGCATAACAAGAAGCCACTGCAAATTTAGTGGCTCAAAGCAACAACAATCACTTATCATCATCTTTCCTTGGTTTGGGCCCAACCAGGCAGTTTTCACTGCAGGTCTTTTATGCAGTTAAATTCCGGATGACGGGGCTGGATTCATCTAGAAGGCATGTGCACTCACTTATGTCTGCCTGTAAATGCTAGATCAACTGCAATTGAGATTTTAGCCAAAACACTCATAAACAGCCCCTTTGTGGAGCTGGGCTTCCTCAAGCCATGGTGGCTTGGTTCTAAGGGCAATTAAAGAGAGGGGGGAAGACTGTGGCCCCTCCTTCGACCCAGCATCAGAAGTCAAACAGCAGCATCTATGCCACATTCTCTTTTGCTAGAGACAAGTCATTCACATCCATCCCATAGCCAAGGAGAGGGAATTAGAACCTGCTTCTTCATGAAGGAGTGTCAAACTAGAGTGCTGCCATGCACGAAAACTCCGCTTGTCCCAGGCATGGTGCTGCCTAAAATGCATGGACACTCTGTATTCTGCTCCTTAGTACATCCATTTATCCATTCATCCCACGACATTGGTTGAACACCAAGACGGTCCCCTGCTCTGTCCTAAGTGTTAGGGACATGCCAATGAAAAAGACAGAAAAAAGACCATTTTACTTTTAAAGTGATACTGTCTGCACATGTTTGTCATGACACCTATTTAAGATAGGAACAATCAAGATGTGTTTACTCAAAATTTTCCCCCAAAACTGTGATCCTGGAAGATGGCTAAGTTTATCCTGGGGAACCTCTGAAGGTGAGCATGTACCCTTTTTAGGAAGCAAAGTCCTAAGAAAACTTCCCCAAATATCCCAATGACTGTTGATTCTCTAGGATCCCCTCTGACATTTACTTCCCTATTCAGGTAAAAATCAGAATCATGACCAAAACATCTTGAAAATATTCTTAATTGCCTTGGTCCTATCCACCTCCCTGCTAACACTTCCCCTCAAAGCAATATGTGTCAGATGTTGGTGTGTCTGCTCTCAGATCCTTTTGCCTTGTCTGCCTCTGCCTTGTTGTGAGTTCCCAAGATTATGTCCCCCAGAAATATACATATATTGGAGTGCCAATCCTCAATACCAGTGAATGTGACTTTTGGAAGTAAGGTCTTTGCCTATGTAATTAACTAAAGAAAACGTCATTCTGGATCAGGGTGGGCCCTGAATGCAATGGTCAGTGTCCTTACATGGAGAGAAAGAGATTTGATGATACAGAAGAGAGACACAAAGAAGAAGTTCCTGTGATGCCAAAGGCAGAGGTTAGTGTCATGATAGGTGCCAGTCACCGAATGGCAAGGATTGCCAGTGTCTGCCAAAGCTAGTAAGAAGAAAGGAAAGATTCTTCCCTAGAGCCTTTGGAAGAGGCATGGTCCTGAGGACACCTTGATTTCAGATTTGTGGTCTCCAGAACTGTAGAGGAATAAATTTCTGTTGTTTTGAGCTACCCAGTTTGTGGTACTTTGGTATAATGGCCCTAGGAAACTACAACAAATGATTTATGTGCAGTTAAAATTACAGTTTTTTTATGCACAATTTTCCTCTTCGGCTTCTTTCACTCAGCATAGTGATCTTGAAATTCCATGTAGTCCCATGTATCAATCATTCATTCCTTTCTTTGCTGAATAGAATTCCATTGTATAAATATGCACATTTTGCTTATTCATTTGTCAGCTATGCATATTCTTGTATACATCTTTAGGTAGACAGATAATTTTATTTCTTTTAGTTAGATACCTAAAGAATGTACCTTTTTAAGTTGCTACCTTACTGCTCTCCAAAGTATCTGTACTATCTTACATTTTCACCAGCAATGTATGAGTGTTCTGGATACTCCTCATTCTTGTCAACACTTAGTATTGTCAGTCTTTCTCATTTTAGCCATTCTCATGAGTGTTACATGGTGTATCATTGTGTTTTGAATCTTGCTTTCCTTATAATTAATGATGTCAGGCATCTTCTCATGTACTTATTGGTCATTGGTTTGTCTTCCTTTGTGAAGTGTCAGAACTATTATAAAAGAATTGTTTTGTTTTCCAATCTATAGTATTGATTTAGTATATAAACATTTTAACCTGAAACCGCTAAATTCACTTCTCAGTTCTGATAGTTGCTTCCTAGATACACATGCTTATTATGCAAGTATGGGTAGTTTTATATCTTTTCTGATATTTAGGTATTTCATTTCAGTTACTTGTTTTACTTCAGTAAGACTTCCAAGGCAATTTTGAATAAAAGTGTGAAAAATAGACATCCCTGCCTTGTTCCAGATCTCAGGGTAGAAACCATTAAATGTGAGGTTGGCTGTGGGTTCTTCTTTTATATCTTTTATGGACTAAGGAGTAACCTTTCATTTCCTAGATATTCAGAAGTTTTATCATGAATGATTGTTGAATTTTGTCAAATGAATTTTCCACAGCTTTTTTTTTAAAGTTGTATTCTTTTCTCCTAAACTCTATTAATACAGCGAGTTAGGCTGATCAATTTTTCAAAACATTCAGCCAATCTACATTCCTTGAATAAACACTTATTAGTCATGGTGTCCTTCTAAGTACTGTTCAATTTTATTTACTAATGTTTTAAGAATTTTTTTAACTATATTCATGAGGTATATTGATCTATAATTTTCTGTTTTTGTAATAATACCCTTTTAAGGTTTAGGTAAATGGGCTATGTTGGTCTTTTAAAATAATTTAGGCAATGTTGCCTCCTTCTTTATTTTCTGAAAAAGTTTGTGTAAGATTGGTATTACTTCTTCTTGAATGTTTCATAGAGTTAACCAGTGAAACACTCTGGGCCTGGAGTTTATTTATGGGGAGATATTTAATAACAAATTTACTTTCTTTATCAGACATAAGACTATTTGGATTTTCTACTTCTTGTGTCAATTTTGGTAAATTGTATTTTGCAACAAATGTATCAATCTCTTTGAAGTTGGTCAGAATTGTTGGCTTTAAGTTATTCATGTATTACTTTATTATCTCTTTAATATTTTGGATCTATAATAATAACCTACCATTTATTTCTGATGTTGGTAAATTGTATTAGTCTCTCGGTGTCTCTCTTTCTGTCTCTGTCTCCTCATTCTCTCAGTTTAATTTTTTTTAAATATTTATTTAGTTATAGATGAACACACAGTATCTTTATTTATTTTTATGTGGTGCTGAGGATCGAACCTAATGCCTCACACATGGGAGGCAAGCACTTTCCCACTGAGCTACAGCCCCAGCCCCACTCTCTCAGTTTAAATAGAGATTTGTCAATTTTATTAATTTTGTTTTCAAAGAACCAACTTCACTTTCCAGGAAACTTGGCTCCTTTGCTCTATGATCTGTTTAGTTTTCTCTTCTATCAATTTCTGCACTAACAGTGTTTTTTTCCTTCTGTTTGTTTTGGATTTACTTTGCCCTTTTCTAGTTTCTAAAGGTAGAGTTTTAGATCATAGATTTTTACAAGCATTTAATCTATAAGTTTTCTTCTATGTTTTGGCTGCCCCCACAAGTTTTAACAAACAGAATTTTCTTTATCATTTAGGTCAAAAAAAAAATTCTAATCTCCCTTGTGATTCTTTTTTGATCCTGAGATTGTGCATTCAATTTCCAAATATTTGATGGTTTCCTAGTAATCATATTTTTGTGGATTTCTAATTTAATGATATTTTGGTCAGAGAACATATTCTTTACTATTATTCAATATTATTATTATTTATTTATTTAAGATTTGTTGAGACAAACTTAGGCCTACCATTTTTGTGTCCAAGCATATGAACTATTTTCTTGAACCTGTAAAGAATATGTACTTTGTGGTTGTTGGGTATAGTGTTTTTCTAAATAACAATTAGTTCAATGTAGTTGATAGTGATGTCTTACTCTTCTGTGTCTTTACTGATTCTTTTCACCTAATTCTATCAATTTCTGAGAAGAGGTATTAAAATTTTTTTATTGTTGTGGGAGTTTCCAATTTTCCCTTTTATTCTGTCCGGTTTTGCATTTAACACATGAACGTCCCTCTATAGCTCTGATAATACCCCTTATCTTTAGGTCCATTTTGTCTGATATTAATATAGCCATTCCATTTGCATAATATATTTTTATGTGTGTACTTTCTACTTGTCTATGTCTTTTATGTCTAAACTGTGTCTTTTGTAGGTATCATAAAGTAGATCGTATTTGCATAGCAAATTTAGCATCCTGAAACAACATCCATTTGTTAGCTCCTAATCCACTCTCAGCTCCTGGAGACCATCCATTTCCTTCCCCTATGACTCCTCCCATTTTCAAGCCAGCAAACTAGACTCTCCCTTGTGTCAAATTCTCCACACTTAGAATCCCCCTTTTCAGGAAAAGCCTGATCCTTTTCAAGGGCTTATTTGACTAGTTCAGACTTACCAAGCATGGTCTCCCCTTCTTAAAGTCAATTGAGCTATACAACATCCATCAATCATATTCACAGTTCACACCAGTACTCAAAGGAAGAGTGGGAATCTTGGGAATTATATTAGAATTATACTTACTATATACTTTTGTATCCTTTCTAACTACCTCTGCATTCTAGTTAATTAGACCATCAATATTTAATGCAATTAATGATGGATTTAGGCCTACCATTTAATTATTTGTTTTCTGCTTATCCCTTCTGATTTTTGTTCTTCTGCTCTATCTTGCCTATTTTATTTTGGATTATTAGAGTACTTTTTAGTATTCTATTTCAAATAGCTTTTTAGCTATATCTTTATTCTTAGTGATTTTTTTATGAATTATAATATATATCAGTAACCTTTCACATCAATAGAGTTAATGTTGCACCATTCCACATAAAATATATTTTTAAAATGTTTTTGTAAACCATACAGGTCATTTTCCCTACATCCTGGACATAGTGCCTATAAGCCACCCTCTTTTAAAAGCTTTCAAATTAAGGGAAGTCGCATCCATGTTTGTTTTTGCTCCTACACAAGCTACCTGATTTTAAATACCAGAATCTTCAGGAGGCAGTTCTCCTATTTTGACCAGAGTTTATAGCTAATATTGGTGAGAGGTTTAGTCTCAGGGGTTTGTACTACCATACCAGAAGAAGAGCTCTCTTGAAATTGTTGTTTTGACCTTATTTCAAGGCCATGCCTCCCCTGCCTGGTAATCATGCCATTTGGGCTCCCCACAGATGGACCAGCCTCCCGCCAGTTTAGAATCCCGGTTAAACTGGTCTGGAAACAGTTTCTCCCTTTTTGTTAGCATCCATTTCTCCAATTGCATAGTAAGCTCCATGTTTATTATTTATACCAAGATATTCTTTCTTGGGGTTTCTCATTTTGCTTGGCAAAGAAGTATTTGTCTGAATGCACCAGGAATGAGGTTTGTCAAATCACCGTTAGATTTGCTTATTCAGTTCTGTCTCCTATGAAACTCCAAATGTAGCAAAAATTGTGAATGCTGACATCAAAACAGTGTAAATAAATACTACTGTAATACTACTAAGCTTGAGGAAACAAAACTAGCATATTTGTGTGTTATTGAACCAAAAAATAGATTTAATTAGAAAAAGAAAAATGAAAGGTAGAAGAACTTTGTGAGGATGCTAAAGGGGACTTCTGAACAATTTCGCGGAATCAAGAGATTGATGACATTTTTTTATGTAAAATTTGAATTCAAGTCAAGTGAATTTCTATATTTCATGTTAAGTGGAAAGTCTATTTTTATATACATAGGAAAGGAAAAAAGAGAGTAGAAAAGTCTATAGGTAGATGATAAGATTAGTCAAAGAAATCTATTTTCCTATGATTACTGGGTAAGCCACTGCCTTCTGTAGCAGAGCAAGAAGAAGTAAGACAGGTGGAGCTCAGACCTGGTGGATGTGGAGGCTGGTAGTTTATTCTCTCTGAATTATCCTGAAGGGACCTAGGAAAGGAGTACTTTGAAGACTCAAGACTGACTGACGTAACCCAGAAGAAGGAATCTAGAAAGACCTAAGTGTCAGACACAAGAAAAGGAAGATGGGGGAAAATGCTGAGCTAGAGCTATTTGAAATTTAGAAGAAGAAAGGGGAAAATAGGATCTCTACAAGTGTAAATTTTCTTACAGGAGAAAAAATACTTTGTGGTAGCTATTCATTACTTGGCTTCTTATCTCCATAGGATGTCTGGATTGCTAAAAAAAAAGTCACTGGGTGATTTTAATTTGTTCTTCATACCAAAGATAATCTCTCTCTCCCTCCCTCTTCCTCCCTCACACACACATATACACACACACACATAAATACAAAACATTATGACAAACTTTTAGTAAATTTTTTTGTGCCCCAAATAATAAAATGCTATTCCTACTCTTGGGAAGGTGTAATGAAGAGTGATAACTGAGTAATGGTATAATTGTTCACTTTGTAGATGTTCTTCAGCTTCTGTGAGAAGAAAGTGGATTATGAAACATTTAAAGCATTCAATGATGCATGTCTTGTCTATGATGGCCGACTTGTGATTGATACCAACTTCCACACAAATGACGTAGCCATCCGGGCTGCTGGCTCCCTCACCAAGTTCTCTAATAGATATTACTCAAATGAGTGGACTCACAGCAACTTTAGTTCCAAAGAAATTGGCTTTCAGCTGGCAGCAGCTATGCTCAATCTCTTTGATCCAACTCTTGAGCCCGTGACTAAGCCACCTGCCGATCTTGACCGACTCATCCCCATGTATAAGGGAGCCAAGATCCAAGGTATGTCAGTGGGCCACTTTATTTCCCTTGATGAAGCCACAAATTGAATGTGAGCCCACATTCAGACTAGGCCTCTGTGCTTCTCTTGGGCTTGGTGAGGAGGGTCCTGGAATGGGTTGTCACAGAGGTAGAGGAAAGGTCTATAGCATTTCTTAAGCCTTTATTCTGAACCTGGAATCATCATCATCATCATCATCATCATCATCATCATCATCATCCTTTGCATTTTGAGCATTTATTGTGGGCAACATCTTACTGGTACCCATTTTACAGATAAGAAAATAGGTAATGATCAGTAACTTGCATAGAGATTTCATAGCTGGTGAGTGGTGGTTTGCCCTAAACTTCCATTCTTAAATTGAGATAAGGAGACCCACCCTTTCAGACAGCTTAGTCCTTAGCTTGCTATCTGGATGAATAAGCTCAACTACTTGCAGCTGTAAAACACTCCACTTTCACCCCCTAAGCTTTGTTGATCACTAAGGTAATGATTTCATGGGGAACCATACGGTTCCTATATGTTTGGGAGGTGAAAGATACTATTAAAAATGGTGTCTTTGAATGCTGTGGGCATTCTGGTCGGAAAAACCCACATATTTACCAAATTGTATTTTGATATTCAGAACATTCATGAACCAAATCCCAAAGCTGTTCGTAGACTCCTATGGCATCCAAGGACTCTAATCCAGTATACAAAACATCACACTGAAGAGCAAAAGTCCCACATTCCAATCCTTGTCTTTTTCTATCTAATAAGACAGATTCAGAGAGCTCCTGCTCTGCTTCTCACACTGGATGAGACCTTGGGGAAGGTAGTAGCCATAGGCGAGCAAGAGAAAGGAACAGTATCAGAGACCAGAGTTGGATCAGGCTCAGACTTTAGGAACAAACCTGAAATATGAAGGATTTCCTACTGATAGTTTTCTAAAGCATTGGACAAAGAACTTCATTGATTTTCTTTATACAGTGTAAGTTTTGAATATTTTTGCTATATATTGGAGGAGTGATATGGAGTGAGAATGCCATTCCAACATTTTAAGCTTCTAAAGGTCAAATCTGGTTTGGATAGATATAGGTTAGGGTGCTGGGAGCTGTGGGGAAACACAATGTACATGGGATCAGCTTGATAATGCTTGGAGCACTGGTGGTGCCAAGACGAGATATAATGTAACCTTCACGTTGATTTGATTAAATAAAGCTCAACCACCCAGGGTGTTCCTTATTATTAGCAGTACCTTAGTAGCAGAGTTTGAGGAGCATATACATGGTGGGAAACCCTGTTCAGTGGTTAAAAATGTAAACTTTGTTCCCCACCTCATTAACAATTCATTTCAAATACGGAAAACTTGCCATTTCCTCTAGGAGGAATTCTTCCTGGGTCTTACCATTATCTGCATGTTTCCAAGCCTAATATTCCAACTCCCTTGGCGGTACAAATGTCACAGACCAATTTTGTAAGTATTATTCCTGGATTTCATTCTACGTTCAAATATAACACTTTGTTTATGGGAGAGTGAAATTCTTTACTCGGTCTTTTATGTAATGTATTGGTTCACAACATCAAAAACCCACTATGATTGTCAGCCCCCAAATGCCCCCAAGAATCTTTGGTCCTCATACACTTATGTGGTTCCCTCGCACACTGAGTAGGGTGAACTGTGTATTCAACCGTATATTTTGGTGGTGACAGTGTGCTAGGTCATGGAAAATATTATAGCTTCCTAATTGCCTCCTTCTGGATCACCTGATGCCATGTTACAAGATCACACAGGCAGCCCTTTGAGGTCTATGTGGTAAGGACCTCAGGATGCCTGCACCAGCCCTTTTTAATTTGCCACCCACATACCTTGGACATGTATCTTCACATGACTGCAGTCGTAGCCAACTTTTCTTGACTGAAAACTTATGAGAGACCATGAACTTGAACCTCCTAACTAAGCTACTCCCAATTTCTAACTCCCAGAGACTGTGAGATAATTAAAGTATTCTGTTGTTTTAAGCCAATAAGTTTTCTTTACTGCTTTATTTTTAGAGCAGCTTTAGGTTTGTAGTAAAATTGAGCAGAATGTACAAAGATTTCTCATATACCCCTTCCTCACCCTCCCTCAACACACTTATGGCCTCCCTCCCTCACTATCAGCACTTCCCATCAGAGTGATATATCTGTTCATACTAGTGACTATACATTGACACATCATTAACAATCAAAGCCATCATTATTAACCAAAGTTCACATTAGGGTTCACTCTAGGTGTTGTACATTCCTGGGGTCTGGCCAAATGTGTCTACCAATAGCATCACACAGGAAATTTCACTGCCCTAAAAATCCTCTGTGCTCTGCTCTTCATCCATCCCTCCATACTAAGTTCTGGAAATTGCTAGTCTTTTTAATATCACCATAGATTTTCCTTTTCCAGAATGTCATATACTTTGAATTACATAGCATGTAGCTTTTTCAGATTGGCTTCTCTCACTTAGTAAGATGCATTTAAGTTTCCTCCGTGTCTCTCTTTTTTTTTCTGAAGGCAAAGGTCTCACCATGTTATCCAGGCCACTGAGCCACATCCCCAGCCCTATTTTGTATTTTATTTAGAGACACAGGGTCTCACTGAGTTGCTTAGTGCCTCACTAAATTCTGAGGCTGGCTTTGAACTCACAATCCTCCTGTCTCCACCTCCTGAACCTCCAGGATTCTGGCATGTGCCACTGGGCCCAGCAAGTCATTAGGTTTTGATCAGTAGATCATAAATAGAGTATTAGAATATTCACCCTCATGACAATGAAGCAAGGAAATTGCTTAGAATCTGAAATGGACATCTAGAACACACTTTTATCCTCCCTTCTCTGAATTATAGCAAAAAGATATCCAGGAAAGGGAGAAGCTATGGCACTGGACCTCCTGTGTTAAAGGAGATCATAAAAGACACAGCACGGTTGGTCAGTTGGAAAGCTGCACAAATCTGATAGATGGACCAAGTCTAGGATGATTTTGTCAACTGGGAACTTCCTTTATGAAGAGTCACATTTGCTTTTAGTCAATGAGGCAGACACTGAAGTTGCCTACTTAACTTTGTTTCCATTGTCTTCTCCTGAATATTTTTGAGGGTTAATTATATGACCAGCATAACATAAATACATTTCCCAGATTTCCTTTAGGATAGGAATGACCATGTGGCATGTTCTGGCAAATGGAATATATTTGGAAGCTATTGGAAAAGAGGAAGACTCAAAATGTCACAGGCTATTGGTCCCCTACTTTATCCCTTCAGGAAACCTGAATCCCATCTCTTCCATTTGCTTCTTCCCATGTGTCTTGAACAAGTTATTCAACTTCTTTGAATTTCTGGGATTGTTAGAGATCATATATAAAATAGTACTGCCTGGAGCAAAAATGGTAACCAATCAATAGCGGATGTTGTTAATCGTGGCTCCAGATCAGTCTTCTTCCAGGGAGAGGACAGATGGTTATCTTTAAAATTTCTTTGCTTTAGGCTTTTCCCAGATCTGCTTAGGTGTCCCAGACACGTGATCTGATGCAAAATTTCCTTACAACAAAGAAAACCACAGAATCATAGCAAATGCTGTTCCAGTTTCTATTACTGTATGAAACACTTGGGGTATAAAACAGCCATTTGATTCTACTCAAAGTCTGTGCTTTCAGGAATTCCAAAAGGGCACAATAGAATACAACATGCCTTGGGTGGGAAGACTAGAAGCCTAGATCAATGATTAGGGTTATATGAGGGCTTATCTACTCACAGCTAAAAGCTTGTTGCTTTCCTGAGCTGGGATGACTGGAAGACGGGGAGTGCTGAGCAGAGCCTTCCTGCCTGGCCTATCCATGCAGCCTGGGCTTCCTCACAGCATGGAGGCCTCTGAGTAATCAGACTGGTCAGGGCTCCAAGGGCAAGCATTCTCCCTAGCAAGTTGGCAACTGCACTGCCTGTACGGCCCAAATGAGCAAGCCACACAGCATCAGTTCCCCCACACCCTCAGGCTCTGCTGGAGCAGTCACAGCCTGTGGGTATTTAAGGTATATGGGACAGAATCCATCTATCAATGGAAAGATTTTTAAGGTCATATTGCACAAAGTAATTGAAATGGGGCCATCAATGTGGCCATCTTTGGAAAGTGCAATCAGCCACAGACAGGGGCATTCAGATAGACAAGATAAAGCCCAGAGTGTCAGAGGCTGAGCACTTTGGTCATCATAGGTAAATAACTTGAGCCTGACATGTACAAGAGCTAGAAAATACTGGACTTGGTTTCAGACAGAATTAGATTCTTGAAGGACACTGCATGATTTCCTACATATAGTGTCATTTATTTATGAACCACTTGCTCTCTCTCTGAATAAAGTCAGAGGAAAAGCCAAAAGGGGTTTTTAGATAATGAGAGTTTTAATAACAGTGCAACTTAAATACATTTCTTTGGCTGGTGCTATGACAGTATTTGAACAGGACCCCTGACTTTAATTAACCATTTTGCCAGGTGGGCCTCCTTTTTAATTAGTACAGAAGATCTAAACAGATTTTCCCCCCATTTTATTATCCAAGAAAAAAAAATGTAGGATGGCTGCATGGCAATCTTTTGGGGTAGGAATTAATTTGATTAAGTAAAATTGTTGCCAAAATGGTCAGGCAGTCACCTAAATAGATCCAATTGATCAAGAATAGAGCCCATTCAACAGTATTTCACTAGAGAAATTACTGTTCTGACAATAAGGGCAGTACAGATTAATCTTATCAGACTTTTATAGTTCTCAATAACTGGAATATTTAAGTAAGGAGATTGTTCAGTAATTCATGAGCTCTTTGAGCAGTAACTTGACAAATGGAAGAAAGGGTACCCCAAATTGTCTACATAATAAACTAATTTGCAGATTCCAGTCCACATGCTTTGTTGGCTTATCCACCACAAAAATAAAGAAATTTGTCACAACAAATTCTGCCTTGGATACTATTGAATTTAAAATTGTATGTTTGTCATGAGATCTGGGAACCTGATTTCATGAACACCAAGTCTGATTAATCCTGTGTCTTCCATTTGGCGTGAACTTCAGAGCCATTTTCCAACCTTTGTCAAAATCATAAAGGAACTTGAAAGGATAATTGTACTCAGGGAAAAAGAATAAGAGAAAAAAAAGAACCAAACCAGAACCAGTCCCTCCACCAACACCTTAAATTTAAGATCCAAATCTTCTAGAAATTTACTTATATACTTAAAGGAAGAAGCTAGACACACCCCGGCAAATTGGAAAGTTTGCAAAATAATCATAATTACCCAAGAATCCCTCATGGGTTGACAGGGCTGGGAGGTTTTTTAAGTCATTTAGAGGAGGGACTTTTTGTAAGAAGGAACAGAGAGTTCTGGACTTCACTGGGTTTTCCTGATCTGTCAACAACTGTCATTAGGAATAACCCACAATACAAGAATAATTTGTGTCTGAGAAGTCCATCTATGCATGAATTATCTTTAATACCACTGCAAAATATTTTTGATGCATTTTAAGTTGCCAGGATGACCTCTCCCCACCCCACTATGCCAACATAGTGCCAAATCTTATTAAAATGGACACAATTTGCCTTTTGTAGTTAAGATCAATATTCTGCAAAATCTCCTCATTACTTTCATTATAGAGTGACTAGACTGGATAGACTGTTTAAGCCCCTGTAGTTATAAAGTTAGGATTATGATGACAAAACATACAAAAAGTAAAAAGGGCAATCCATCCATAATAACAAATTGTTGAAGACAATGCTGAGGATTCCACTCTCCTGGAATAGGCTAACATGGAGGACATTTCATGCTCAGACTCTCCCAGATCCCAGGCAGTGGCCCACCAAGGACCTTCAGAAATTTGTCACATTACTACCACTAAGAAACTGTGGCCCCTGACTTGAGGTGCTGAGCCTCAACTAAGGTTGTTTGAAGTCCAAATCAGCTCTCCTCAACACAGAGAAAACCTTGCAAGTTGCAGGGCAGGTATTTAATGAAATTCCTTGAAAAGTCAAATTTTTTGTTGCCCACATGGGTAGATCTCTCAAGCAGGGCCTTTTTTTTTTTTTTTTTTTTTTTTTTTTTTTAATTTTTTATTGTGGGTTGTTCAAAACATTACAAATTTCTTGACATATCATATTCCACACTTTGATTCTAGTGGGTTATGAACTCCCACCTTCACCCCATACACAGATTGCAGATTCACATCAGTTACACATCCATTGATTTACAAATTGAAGCAGGGCCTTTTTGATGTCTGAGTTCCCTTTTCTCAATTGCTCAGCATAAATAAACATTGAGGAGGAGGAAGAGCAAGAGGAGGAGACCAAGACCTTGTGAGATTGCTTTCTCTGCTCTCCACAGATCTTTGGGGAAACCAGCAGCTAAAACTATGCCAGAGTGGTTGTGGGGGCTTGCTCTCCTGGATCCCCAGCAGCCCTGCTACCATGGTGAGGGAGTGGCCCCCTCCTTAGATAGTCACCCACAGTTGGTACCAAACTCCAGTGTTCTCTAAAGCCTTGTATTTCACCATAGAAATGCACATGGGCGTCACATTCTTCACTATGTGCCTCTAATTCTGAAATAATGTCTGTTATCCTGGGCCACCCAAGTAAAGACGGCACCACCGGGAATTATTCTGTCATGTCCTGTGCCCCCACTCTGGGTGGTGGGATTCTTTGCTCAATCTGACAAGTCAAGACTTGAGGAAATATACCTGAATTAAAAAGTCTAAGGGCATCCAGGACCACAGAAATACATGTGCAAGTGCAGAAAGTGGCAGGTGGTCAGGGAAGACCTGGGACCTGGATTTAGCTTTTCTTTGGACAAGTCACACTCTTCCACACTAACTCCTCATGGATCCCTCTCCTCCCTCCTTCCCATCCTCTCTCCTTCCTTTTCCTTCTATGTCTTCCTTACTCCCTCTGCTTTCTGTTTCACTTCTCTTTTAAATGTTCCTCAAAAGTCTGGTTCCTTGCCATAGCATAGCCAGAAGACTTTAAAATATCATTTTACAAGTGATAGTTATTGCTTAAAATTAGAAACTACACATAGTCCACTGAACAGAAAGAGAAACAACAAAAGTTACCCAGACTCCTCACCATAGGAAATGAGCATTAGCATTTTTAAAAATGTTGATGCCCCCCCAAATGGAATGATACTATTCATTGTAGTGAACTCTTTTTGTAAAATAAAATGTACTGTGAACCTATGTCCCTGTTATGAAATATAGTGGTATTGGACCACTTTGCATCTCCCTTGAAGCATCATCCCCTAATCTCTTCTCTAAGTTGTATTTGTTCCCTCCCTTTCTCCCAAATACTCAGTTTCTCATCCATGCTTGGGGTTGGTCCATGATTTCTTCACCTGATGTGCCTCCTTAAGTTTCTCACTTCATGCTTTCACAGTTGGCTGAAGTCTACCTCAGGGCTTTTCCATGGGATACCCAGACACCCACCAGTTGCCTCAGTTTATCTAAATGTGTTCTTGTTTTGATAAAATCCCTAGGTGGTGTCCCGGACTAAGTAAATGTTTGGAATCAGAGCAGTTCAACTTGCCTTGGGTTTCTAAATGCCACCTTCAAGCTCAGAGTGAAAGCTTAAATCTATATGCACTCCGAAAATCTGATTTATTTAGTGTTACTGTGTGCTAAACCTGGAGTCAGAAGGTAAAGTGGAGTCCAGCCAAATAAAACTCATGTTTGCCTACTGAGGCTTTCCACTCCCTGGGCCTTTGGGGAGTGTGTGTGTCCAGTTGGTAGGTCAGTAGCTCTCAGGAGCCGAAATAGAAAAAGAAGTCATGACGACATGGAATTAGCTAGTGGCATCTTTTCTTGTCATAAGGCAGTTTTAGTTGGTTTCTTAAGGGCAAAATGCCACAAATCCATACCCTGAACAATTTATAATTTAAAAGGTCACGTAAGCCTATATTTGCCAGAATCTCTAAACTTCTTACTGGGAAGGAATTCTATCAAACTCCCCCAACACAGCTATTAGGTATTCATCTTTTAAAAGGACTGAAATTCCTTGTGATCACTTTGACTAGGATGTTTTACTCAAAATGGTGCTGTGAAAGATTAAGAAATTTGGCAATGTTAAATACCTTGAAGAAGAGAAGAGGAAAGGGATGGGGGGTACATGATCAAAGTATGTTACGTGCATATATGAATTTGTTGTGATGAAACCCTTGGTTCCATTCAATTAAAATGCACTGATGAAAAGAAAAAAAAGGAGAGAGGGAGGGAGGAGGAAGTAAGTAATAACGCCATTGTACTTGGTACCCTGTGGTGCCAGAGAATAAAGTGAGATATAGAGTTACCTAATAAAGCAAACCCAGAGCCTGTGTGCCACTCCTCACACCCCAGGGTACACCCTCTCATCAAGATCTCCATTTCTTCTGCATGAACACCTTTCTTTCAGGCAGGGCAAATGGATTTCCACAACAGCCTTTTACAATTTGCCAGCTCTGATCCTCCCACTTTTGTTTCTCAACTTCCTGAAAGCTCACCTCTCCCAGGAAGTCTTTCCTAATAAAATGACTGGTTCAGGTACACTGCTCCTGTAGCTCCTGTGCTGGATGTTGGCATTTTTGTGCACCAATGGATCTATACTGCTACTGGAGGGGTTCCTAAAAATAAATGACCGAGCAACTAAATTTTTTAATGAAAATGAAGAAGAAACACCTCATAGAAAAGAATAAAGCCAGTTCCACTTACTAGCTACATGAGGTATTGAGTAACAGATAATTGGTTGTAACCTAGCAACTAATTTATAAACACAGGACAATGCAATCACAGTTTATAAATATCCTGAAGAACATTTAGTCACAAAGTCCAAGTTTGTGGTTTCTTTTTTTATACTAATGTATCAGTGTGAGTTTATTAATCATAACAAATATACCAGACCAATATAAAATGTTAGTCATAGGAAATATAGGCAGGATCCTATGTTTATTTTCAATGTTTTAGAATATTTTTATTGATGCATATTAATTATAGAGAATAGTGAATTTCATGGTGGCATATTTGTATATGCACATAACATAATTTGATGGAACTTTTTACTCCTACGCATATGGAGTACCATTATCTTCTGCTGAATTTGGTCAATATCTATTTCTATTATTTGCAACAAATGACAAGATACAACCTGTTATATATAAAAAAATTAATTTGCTATGGTAAAGTTCCCAAGGTCCAGAAGTGTTTCTAATGTTTTTCTGATCCATCCTCTCCCTACCAGGGGTCAGAAATAATAACAGGTAATGTGAAAAATGGGACATACTTCCGAATTCATGTTAACAAGTATAAGATAGTGGAGACCATCACGTGCCTTTCTAAGGAGGCTTTCCCTGCTTCCAACTACATCCGCTTGCTTGGCCAGCATGAGCAAGTCCTCAACAACCTGTGCGCTCGTTATGACGACAAGCTGATCACAGATCTCTACAGGTAGGTTGGACATTTTGTCTGATGGTGGGAATATAATATATATGATGGTTCATAAATGAGAGATGAGTATTGTGATGTGCCAGAGAACAAAACAGGAAATAGTGGAGAAGCAAAAGTAGTGGAGATTTTGTTCTAATAAAGACTATGTGACCATTAGCATTGGCTGGAGATCAAAGGTCACATAAGGAAGTGCATGGATTTGGATGTGTTTACACCTAGGCCCAGATCCCAAATGCAACCATGCACAGCCTTCACACTACGGAAGGCTCAGATGAGATGACATTCGAGTCCCTTTCCATAAGGGACTTCTAAGAGCAGTGGTCAAAAACCTAAGACTTGGAGTAGGATGTGGAAGAATCTGGTCCTGGTGGGAACTCCACAGTCACCAAACCATTTGTGATCCCAGCCTTCTTCCTCCCAGCACATGCTCAAGCAGAGATGGGTGGCTATTTGTCCAAAATGCTGGTAAGAAAATTCCCACAGTAGGCGATCTAAACTTTTTGTCTTTTCAAAGTCTAAGACACACTTTCATGCTATACCTCATGGAAAGCATAGAAAGCATGGCATTCTAGAATGGAAAGCTACTTCTGGATGCAGCCTGCCACTTAGCAAGGCTAGGAAAATATTCATCTGTCTACAAAACAAGATGACAAAGTCAGTGCCAGATATAGATGAAGGATATAAGTCATAGGTTTCCAGTGTCCTTAGCACTCATAGGAGTGACTTCCAGTATCATGATCAATTTTTCTTCCTTCTTATTTTTTTTTAATTTTAGAATATATAAAACATGTGCCACATATTTTAAAAAGCATGTTCACATATGTGAATTGTGCATGTACCCCTTAAGGGAAAATAGTACTGTAAATCTATGTGCCTACTATCAATGTTAAGAAAAAATTCCTTACCTTGAGATATTGGAAGCCCCACTCAGCTGATATCTCTATTTCTTGGGAGGCAGTCACTATCCTGAAGTTTGAATTGGTCATTCTATTTCTTTTAAAAACAGGATCAGCAAACTCTGTTACAAGAACTTAATTCTGCCCTTGTAGTAAGAAAGCAGCTATCGATAGCACATAAACAAATGGACACGACCTGTCCCAATAAATTCATTTATTAAAATAGGCACTGGCTGTATTTGATCCAAGGGTCATAGTTCACCAACCTCTGTTTTAAAAATGTGCAATATATGATTTCTTAAATTATACATTAACTTGTTTATTTTGAATAAAATCTATAACTTGCTAAAGAAAGTCAACATTCTGCTTAGCACTGTTTGGGGGAAACCATCCATGTTAGCTTAGCTCATTTGTTCTCCCTTTTGTGTATTCTTCCATTGTGTGACTGTCATAGTTCACTCATGGATTTTCCTGTTGATGGATGTCAGTTGTCTCCACTTCGGTGCTATTACAAATAAAGTTGTGGCCATTGTGGATCTATTTCATGTGCAGAATTTCTCTAAGGGTGTCCCAGTTCTGTAACTGCTGGGTCCTGGGACATACACATCTTTGGCTTTACTAATTGATGCTCAAATGTTTCCTCACAAATAGTCAGACCTATCTAAACTCTCCCACCCATTATAGTGAGTGAAAGTTCCTTTTGCTATGTAGTGCTGTCAATTTGGTTCTATTCAGACTAAAAACTGGCCATTCTAGTGGTATGCAAAAGTATCTTCCCATGACCTTAATTGGTCCTTCACTAATTAATAATATATTTTTTTTGCTTTTTCATGGGCCATTTGTGATAGTTTTTATGAAATGCCTATTTATAACATTTGTCCATTTTTCTTTTGGTTGTCATCTTCTTAATTAGCAGGAGTTGTTTTATATACAAACTTGTGTTGTTCATATATTTTAAACATTTTGAGATTTGCCGTTTATCTTTCTATATGGTGTCAATTAACAGATATTCTTAATGTAATCTGTCTTCTTTAAGGGTGGCTTGGGATTTTTTTGGTACTGAGGATTGAACCCAAAAGTACTTTACTACTGAGCTACATCCCCAGTCCTTGTTTTTGCCTTTTAATTTTTGAAGCAGGGTCTCACTAAGATGCTGAGGGTCTCATTAGTATAAATTAGTATATTTATATTTATAGTATAAAGTAGAATAGGAATAGCTGGCCTCGAATTTATAATCCTCTTGCCTCAGTCTCTTGAGAAACTGAGATTACAGGTGTGTACCTCTGTACCCAGTTCTCAGAAAATTTTGTCCCTTTGCTCTTCCAAAAGTTTTATAATAAACTTGTCAAGTTCCATGAAAAGCTCCATTGAATTTCATGGGACCTGCATTAGATCCTAGCTCAGCTAGCTGAGAACTGACCTCTTTTATATTGATTCCAATATCATAACATAGCATAAGTCTAATTTACTTAGGTCTTCTTTGATATCTTTCAATAAAGGTTTATCACTTTATCCATAAAAGTTTTGTATGATTTTTGTTTGCTGTGATCCAAGGTGCTTTATATGTCATTATTATTATTATAAATATCATTTTTATTGATTGATGCAGCTATATTAGAAAAGCCCTAATTTTTGTGTGGCTCTAATCTTGCAAATTTGCTTAACTTCTTCAGTCATTCAAATAATTTACCTATAGATTCTTTCAGATTTTTCCACGTAGAGAAATTATATCATCTGCAAATAATGATAGTTCTCCTTTCTCTTTTTCATTTCTTTTTCTTCTCCTACTACACTGGCCAATATTTAATAGCGAGGGATGGCAACCTTGTCCTCATTCTTAAAGGGAATGTGCTCAGTATCAAATATGTAACATTTGCAACTTATATTGTTATAGATGCCCTTCATTAGGCTAAGAAAATTCCTTTTGGTTACTGGTTTGCTAAGCTCTGTGTGCATGTATGTGCAGTACATCCATACATTCACCTGTGCTGAGTATTAAACCCAGGGCCTTGTGCATGCATACCATGTGCTCTACCATTTAGCTACATTCCCAGCCCAGCATGTTTATTATGAATGAGTTTTGTGGGTTCCCCCCACCCCACCAGGAAAGAGTATTTCTGAACCTTTTAAAGCATAAAGATATCTTCATAATGCTTTTATACATAAACCATATTTTGAAAAAGTATCAAATTCTTTAATCACAGGCTTTCCCTTTTCAAATCCTTGTAGACTTTAATATAAACCTTAAATAAAGAAAAGAACAAGTATTCTGCTAAGCTAGTACAAGGGATTTTATTATTGCATTCAACCTTACTGGAAACATTTGAGTTCAAGGGAATCCGTTGTCTGTTAAAGAGAAATTCTACTTAGTGGTGAATGATATGCTAATACTCTACTTTGGACAAAAAGAAATGTTTTCACATTTGAACAAATTAAAAGTCATGATTGGTTTATTTCTCCTTGAAAAGGTGATTTTGAGACTACTGCTCGGGGTCAAGTGTTAGTAAGACTGAGATCACTAGTCGGGGCGCAGCTGTTAACTGATGATAGTAATAATTTTAAAGGTTAATTTGATTTGTTAAGATTGAATATTTAGGATGGCAAAACAAGATAGGATGGCACTGGATAGCAGGAGATGCTGATTGACATCTGTCGGATAGAAGCAGGGGGCAGGAAGATGGTCACTGATCATTTGTAAGGGAGGTGCTGCAGATCCTGCCATGTGTTGGCAGGCACTTCCATTACGTGTGTTCATGTGCACACACAGCTGTGGCCACATTCTCAAGTGCCACAAAATACTGCCAGGTCCCCGCGCTGATTCTTGGCCCAGCACCGCCCACCCTGTCTGTTGTCAGACAGACTGGCAAGGCTCTTTCCAAGCAGGGTGAATGGCTTAGCTGATTTTGGCCACAATAATCACCATTTTTTTTTCCTGACCTTGGCAGTGCAAACAACAGCTCTCATTCAAATCTGGGCACATTTTCTTTGTGCACTTTCATCCACCGTGTCTGGGGGCACCTTCCCTGATGCTGGAAGGGCTGATGGTTAACCAACCACTCTGTTGTTCCACAAGTCAGGCATTAGTGCAGTATCTGTTCTCTCCTGATTCAAAGAAACCCTCTGGATCTTTCTTCTCTGTTTCCCTCAATCTATTCTCACCCCCTCAAGGACCAGCGCAGTGCAGGCTCTCGCTGTGCCAAAGGAAATGGTGGCAGCCACTTGGGTCAGATGTTGCTGTGGCAGTAGAAGCCTCAGGAGCAATGACTCACTTGGAGCCATATGGGGATGCAGGGTGACAGGCGTGCAGTCAGCCACCAAGATGCACAGGGCAGACAGCTGCCACAGGACTGCAGTGCAGCTGAGGGCTGCAGCCCAGGCTGGCTCAGAGTCCGCCTATATTTTATTCTTTGTTTTCACCTTGGAGTGCCAGTACAAACCATTGGCACTGCAGAGGAGAGAGCTAATTCACCACTGTTGTTTGTGTACATGTGGCAGGGGATGGGGAGAATTGGTAGATTGATTGATTTACCACTTGGGAAAAAGAACAGAGCTTTTTTAAAAAAATCACTTATTCTTTTCTGAGCCAACCAGCATTTAAAATCACACAACAAATATGCTACTAAAATTCATCTTTCTGTGGTCTCCCCCTTAAAGCCTTTGTGTCTCACAGGTCCTGCATGTGCACATGTACTTTCACAGAGGTATGCATGAGTGCACACACATGCTTACTTATGCACACCCCCCCCCCCCGCCATCCAACCCTGGCAGTCCTCCTGTCTGCTAAGTCATTTGACATGTTCAGCAGTGACCTGCTAACACTGCTTCCCACTTCAGGGCACTGGAAGTGAAAGGACCTTTTAAGGAGGTGCAAGTAGTCAGGGACTGGGAGCTCTGGGTGGAGGGAGGGGGGCTGAGGTGGCTTCCCGAGCTGCTGTCTGTCAGAGATTTTAACTAGGCATGTTCCACATTTTCTCTGCTTTCTTAACTCTGGCTTCATCTTCTTTTACCCCTACTTATCGATGACCCTACATAAAAAAGGTCTTCCCTTCTGACTGTGCCCCCCTTAGCCTTAATTAACAGTCGGTAGCATCCTTTGTCCTCACA